TTAGTGAACCACACTAGCCTACTGTGGGTTGGTTGAGTTTACACATATAAAAATAAAATAAAATGACTTTATTAACTTTCCCTTTGAGCAGGGGACTGGATCACCAGGCCCTTCATCACATATCTTTGAATTTATTGTACTCATATGTGCGGGTTGCATCACAATGTTGTCTTTCACCATAAGAATCTCAGGTACATTATGTACAGTTGGGGAAATACTAGTTTACCGCCAGGTATTCCACATTAAAAACTACAATTATTTGACACGAAAACATTGTGAAACAAGACACGGAACATAAACCAATACAACACAGCTTATAAATGTATCTGTACAATAAAAAGTCAGTTAGTGGTACATGGCTAGTTTCTTTTATTAATATACATTCGTTTATACCACTTACTGCTATCACATTATCTGTACAAACACGCAGAGTTTGTCTTGTTGAAATGGACAAGGCATTTTTGCCTAAAGATGAACACTGTTGATTTCCACGATTTTACATATGAAATTAGAAAATCACATTGGTCATCGCGATTCGAACTCATATCATATTTATGTTACCTGGTTTAGAGTAGTTGAGGCATGTTTTCCAAAGACTTGCTCAATTAGACTCTTGACAGCGGGAATCCTAGTCGACCCTCCGACAACCTCCACAGCATAGATGTCTTCTGGCCTCAGTTCTAAAAAGAAGAAATAAAAACATTACCGACTATTGCTAACGACAACATTCGCAAATATAAAAATATTTGTTTTTTGTATGCATATGGAATACCAAGTTATACAAAAATATTCAGATAACATACAACTTTATGCAGAAATTTCTCATAAATCTTCAGTCATATAACGGTTAAGTTAACTTGAAAATTGAACATGTATAAATACAAAGTAATGAAATGATGAATACATACTAGCATTATGTAAAAGAGCCCTGAGAGTCCTTTCCACTCGGGTGAATGTCTCACTGCAGAGTTGCTCCATAGTGGAGCGTTGCATTTCTCCCGACACATCTCGCTCCTCCATGAAACATTCAATGTTGAGTGGCAAGCGAGTGCTGTTTGCAGACATCTGCTTCTTAATCTTCTCAACTTCTTGCAGGAGACGTAAGAAAGCCCTGGAAAATATCCTTCCATATTAAGTAAAAGCATTTAATAAACTTAACATTTTTATGTTGGTCATCAAAATATGTTAAAAAATAACCTTATAATTTACTGTATCACACATAAATTATAAACTGTGGTTAGATTGCAATATTCCAGACCACAAGGGAAATACACTATTGTCATTTTTTATCATAGTATTGTATAAAAATTATTTTCAATCAATACAAAGGACCAACAAACCTCTGATTTTTCTTAGGATCAAGTTTAAACCGTGTCAAGAAGTCTTGACAGAAATATTCTGCTAAAGCCATATCTATGTCTCGTCCACCACAATAGGGATCTGTAGCAGTGGCCAGTACTCGGAGTTTGCCTTTGTTGAATGCACATGCTGCCACCTACAGAGAAAAAACAATAACATTTGAATTAATTGCAATCTTTTTTTTTTCTAAATTTCGTAATGAGTATGGTTAGATTTTAATAATACAAACCTGTAGTGATGAGTATCCAAAATCAACAAAAACAACATTTCGTGGCTTCTCTTCTGGAGCTGGTAGGTCTTGTTTGTAAATACCGTAAGTTAGAGCAGTTGCAGTTGTTTCATTCATTAGACGTAACACATTTAACCCTTAAAATAAAATGAGTAATTTTCAAAGTCAATTCAAAATATTAAGTCAAAAAGTTCTATAATTAAAAAAATTATAATAGACTATTTGTTACCTATCTGCATTTATAATATGTACAATATACATATTTTAATCGCAGTTAGGTAACACATCATCCAAAATAAACTGAAGATAAATAAAATTCTTGGCAACTAGTGTTGGAAATTAAAGTCCAGATAAAATCATTGTTAGTAATTTAGTGTCTGAGGCACAAAAGAATAATGATAATTTAGTCAATAAAAGTGGTATTTTAATTAGTTCATAAGTTTATCTGTATATAAAAATTGTAAACATTCTTACCAGCTATTCCTGCAGCATCTAATAAAGCCATTCTTTCAGCATTTGTGTAATAGCTTGGTACGGAAATGACACAGTCATTGATCTGTGTCTGCAACGCAGTTGCTGCTATGTCCTTCAACTTTGTAAACAGCATTGCTGTAATCTGAAATAGTTATTTATTGCAATTATTAGAAAAGTTTTTAAAGATAAATTAAAGACATTTTGATAATTTGTTCTGTAGTTTGTATCCTTATAAGTGCTCTTAGCAACCTACAAGTGTCAAGGTCTCACATGTCAATTGGACATAACCTTATATGAACAAAGTTTATTTCATGTACAATGATTTTCTTAACTAAATAATGATAATCGAATGTATCAGTACTAAAATAATAACTTTCATACCTGTTCTGGACTGAAAACATTGTCTTCTCCTAAGTAATTAACTCTAATACCAATCCCACCATCTCCCCTTTGCTCAACTTTGAATGGGAAATGTTTTAACTCTTTTTGTACATGTGGGTCAGAAAATTTTCGACCCAAGAGTCTCTTGAAACCAAAGACTGTGTTCTTCATATTTGTCACCATTTGGTTTTTTGCAGCTACTCCTAATATACGATTTTTCGGAGAGAAGGCGACACATGACCTGAAATTGTAAATTGATTTCTATGAGAGAATATCATAATTTTAGGGTAAAAATTAGCTTTCAAAAGAAATTGTGTTCGTAAGTTTGTATGTTTTCGTAATAAAAAGCTTAGTCATTGTAAGGTATTCATTTGAATAATTATTGACAGATAGCTCAAGTGTAGGATTAGTTCTTTGAAAATGGATTTAGCATGCGTTTAATTACTTAATAATGTTTTCATAGTAAATTATAATAATGTCAAGTATTATTTCCAGAATTGACAATCAACTATATGAAATGTTATGTCAGAAAAATAACCAAAAATATGAAAATGTGATATGTAACTATCCAAGCACAAGAATACTATTTAAGGTAAAAAAGGTTCGGAAAATATTACTCACGGTGTACCCCGTAGACTGTAATCGTTGGCTATTGTCTCAATGCCACCTGCTTTTGCTACCGCAATATAACAAGATTCGTTGCCGAAATCAATACCTATTACGGACATTGCAGCCATTATTTAACACAAATTGCAATTTAACGAGGGATTTTTTCGTTTCTCACTGATAATCAATTAACACAAACACGTTGTCTTCAGATGACAATCAGTCAATCAATTGCAAAAAGAACGCCGGTTAAAATCGCAAGCTAGACTGTTTAACAGACAATGTATCAACCACTACAGACACTGTATTAAAATTATTATTCAATGTTCAATGAATTTCATCCATCCGTTACGCGAATTTTCTAGAAGCACAGATAAAACAGAACTTTTGAAGTAGGAAAACTTGATTTTTCCAGATAATTGGTATAAATAAAGGACATGAGTTGGTATGGGTCGCAGAAAATATTGCAATTACCTATTACTTATTTCTTTTCATATTACATTTCCACTTTATGAAAATCTTTGAGAGTATAAAAGTACATTTTTATTATGTTTCACGCATATAAACATTACATAAATATTCGTATTTTATTCTGATCAATTTGAAAGGCTTAATTAATGTTTTCAAAAATAAAGAGATTATAAATCTGATCCAATCTTTGTATGTAGCGGCTTTTAAACATATCTATTTTTTCAATAATTTTGTGTGAGATAAACTGAAGTCTAGTATTATAATAAAAAGCTAATATAATATAGTTTTGTGAGAAAAGATTATGCTGGAAATCATTAGGAATTTAGCAAGATTTCAAAAGGAAAAATATGACAAATTATATGGCAATAATACATTGATAATATAATAATGACAATGACATTATGACATCGATTGATTTGATCCGAGTCTTTAATCGATTCAAATCGAATAAAATAAATCGGCTTCGCTTAACTTTGCAAAACTTTTGAACTCCTATTTTTTTTCACTTTTTAATTCGAACTTCTGATCTTGTCAGAATAGAACAGGAAATCTATTATATTATAACTCTAGATTTAAACACGGTGCAAGTAAGGATAGAGATTAGAGAATAACACTTCACAGCAAAGGTTATCAATAAGGAATATACCGCCGCGGCGAGTAATATTGGTAAAGAATAACTAACTTGTTTCTATGTATGTTACAGTACTCTTTGCTTGTGCTGTTATTGCATGACATCGCGTGCTTACTTTACGGGGTCACCTTCAAGTGAGCGCTCGCTTCCACTTGCAGACTGATTACAAAAGCGATTACATATAATTATCACGCTTTAATTAATTTTGTTCTTTTGATATTACAGGTACATAATAAACAGTATGACAAGTGAACCATTAGCGAAACGTACCAAAATGAGTGTTCTTGACCAGTTAAAACAATTTTCCACCGTAGTCGCTGATACTGGAGATTTTGAAGGTTAGAATTATAATTATATTTTTGAAGTGTTGGGTTTACAATGTTTTTAAATGCTTACTAAACTCTTCCTCTTTATCTGATTGTGGTGGACACAGTTTTGTTGATTTTAATATTTTCACAGTTCTAACCTTGAACTTGCACTACCAAAACATTTACTGTTTATAAAAAACTATTAGTTCTTCCTGTATAATACCAATGTAAAATAATTGGCATTTATGAATATTCTGTTGCTTTGATGTTTTTTTTTTTCAAATTTGCAACTTTTATTTGCAGCAATGAAAGCGTACAAGCCAACGGATGCAACAACAAATCCAAGCCTAATTTTGTCTGCCGCTGGCATGGAACAGTATCAGCATTTGCTGGACAAGGCTGTTAAATATGGAAAAGAATGTGGAGGGTGAGCCTTTTGTTGTTATTTTAATTAATTTATAATGTGTTTTAGAAGTATATTAAAACTTTCTTGTTAGAAAGAGTTCTTTAGTCTGGTTAGTTATTTAATGAGATTTATTTATTATTTTTGTCATATTCTAAAACTTTCTTTAGTATTTAAATATTTTTTTCACAATTATTGTTAGTAATTTATCATGTTGACTTTTTCAGAACCATTGAGGAACAACTTACTGAAATCTTGGATATGTTGAGTGTTTTATTTGGTTGTGAAATTTTAAAAATTATTCCGGGACGTGTTTCTGTTGAAGTGGATGCCAGGTAATAATATTAATTGTATGAAGACAAATAGATGTATAAAAAAAATGGTTTAAGAGTTAAATCACGATTTTTTGATGATGCTTCCTATAATTTAAAAACCAATACCTTCTGTGAATATGTTGAGACAGAATAAACTAATTTTAAAATGTCTTATCAGAATCAAATATAGCTATACATAATTATGTAACATGGTTAAAAAACTTATCTTATTAACATGATGTATGTAAATGAATTCATTTGATTAAAATTTAAATGATTTTGATCTAAGAGAGATAAAGGTATCATTATCAATGACACAACTTAAGTGCCTATTTCCATTATCAGTTGGCAAACATGACTGTAATTGTCATGTGTCACTACAATTGCTATATAAATTGGGGGGTATAAAAGCAAAAAAACTTCTATTTAATTTTTTTATTGCGAAGTAGGCGTACTAACTTGTAATTTATTAAACAAGAAACAATTTGATGAATAGTTTAATAAAAAGTTTTGGATTTAATTGAATATTACATTGCTTTACAATTAATATTTAAAATTAAGTCTTAAATGTTAAGCCATATATTGTTTGAGTTCAGTTATTTCCGTTATAATTGTAATATCATTTAAAATTCCTTAGTTGTTTGTTTATTCTGTAATTTTCCTCACTCTTGCAAAATATTAGTCATTGTTATTAGTCTCCTGTTACTATGAGACTGAGAAAAATAGTTTTATACTGACTAAGCAAATATAAGTCATACAGCAAGAAATAGATTTGATTCTTGCACTATTCGGAAAGCAGCATATATGACCTTGAATTGCTCTTCATTACATTTAAACTATTATTGATGTTTAGTAAATAATAATGAAGTTAAAACAAAAAAACGCCAATAGCCTAATGGTTTGGGGTATGGACTACCGATCTTGAGGTCGAGGGTTCGAATCCCGCCATTCGACTATTGTCGTGAACTATATCCTAGTACAAGCTTAGAGCTTAGTTGGAATGGTTAAAGGAAATATTAGTAAATTAACAAAAATCTACTAGTATTAAAAAAAATTGTTTTATAGGTTGTCATTTGACAAAGATGCGAGTATGGCAAAGGCAATTAAATTGATCGGAATGTTTGCTGAGCAAGGCATCAAGAAGGAGAGGATTCTAATAAAGTTAGCTTCAACATGGGAAGGTATCCAGGCTGCAAAGTATGTATTATTTTGTAACATACAATATGCACAAGTATTGCTTATATTTGGTTAATAAAAATATTTGTTACGTTACAGGGAACTGGAAAAGAAACATGGAATACATTGTAATTTAACTCTACTTTTCTCAATGTATCAGGCGATAGCATGCGCTGAGGCAAATGTTACTTTAATATCGCCATTTGTAGGACGCATTTTGGATTGGTTAGTTCATTTGGCTCTTATTAAGCATTTTTTCCTTTTCAAATCTTAGCTTGTTTATCAATTGTATCTGTGTGATGGCTGTTATCTTCGCTTTAACATGGTGTTTTATATTGTTAAACTCTTTTACTTGAAGCCCATGTTAGATAGGAATTGACGAGAAAGCATTTTTACTCGTTATCGTTGGCACGTCGAGCAAAAGAGTTCATATGTTGCAGACGTGTCAAATCAATCGGCGGGTACTATAGTCGTTTTACCTTTCACCAGGTATGTAGAACATACAAAGAAGACGTATGAAGCGAAGGAGGACCCTGGCGTGTTGTCTGTGACGCGCGTGTACAACTACTACAAGAAGTTTGGGTACAACACGCAGGTGATGGGCGCTTCGTTCCGCAACACGGGAGAGATCCGCGAGCTGGCCGGCTGCGACCTGCTCACCATCAGCCCTAAGCTGCTGCAGGAGCTGGCCAACAGTGAACAGCCATTGAAAAGAGTAAGTACTTATGTGCTTACAACATACTAGCTTTTGCCCGTCAGTCTTGAATTAAAAGAAAAGTAGCATATGTGTTCTTCCAGACTATCCTCTACATCTATGCCAAATTCATCGAGATTATATAAGATTATATTAGATCCTTTGGCTGGAAACTGGTGCATTTATAATTTTAACAGTATTGGTAATTAGGGGTTGTTACCACACTAAACTTTAGGTCCAATATGTTTATGGTTTCATTTACAAACATTTTAGTAACCAATATCTTTTTAACAAGTATATTGCAAACATTATTATCTTAAGAAATGTCTTCTTCAGTGGGAAATGAAACTTTTAAAGGTTAAACTGCTAAAGTCTTGCTACACTTGTTGTTTAGGCTAGTTTAGTGAATGAATTCAACACTATGCATAATTCCCAAATACAACAAGTACATTTTGGCTGTAGTTGGTAAAAAAAAAATAAGAGTATTTAAGTCAGCTTCTAAGTATAATTTATTTCTGTAATTTCTAGGTACTTGACCCTAAGGTCGCTGCTAAAAGTGATATAGAGAAAATATCTCTATCAGAAGCTCAGTTCCGTTGGCACTTGAATGAAGATCAAATGGCTACAGACAAGCTCTCCGATGGCATTCGGAAATTTGCGGCCGATACCAGAAAGTTGGAATCGCTTGTTAAGACTTTGCTCGCTACCAAGTAGTATGAAAATACCGCGATTTATAAATGGGTGATTGTTTCATGTTTTCTTTTTTATATTTTTTATGTTATTGCATTTTTGAGGGGAAGAATATCATATTATGTATTTTTATTTCGCATTTATTGATAATGATATGTTTTGGGTCCAAGCTATAAAGCTCATATTTTTTTTTGTTTTTTATAATCCTGTCTGAGTGTTTTAGATTATTTTATATGAAAAATAATTATTATTGTTTATTCTTTGTAAAGTTTATTGAATCTTCAGCGGAATTTTATTTTAAGATTTCTTTATCAGTTGTCTTAAAATCGTATTTATTCTCAAGTGTTTTATCAAAGGAATAAACTAGAGCATAAAAAGTTGTACTAATTAATTTATTCCTTTTGATGATAATTTCCTACAGTTTTTGTTTAATACATCTTACGCACATTTCAGTGTTAAACATTTTATATATTTAATAGGATTAGTGGTAAGGTTACAGTTACTTAAATATATATTGTATTTTGTGCCTTAGATTTTGATACATTCCTACTTAAAAATTTCCTATTTGAAATTCATACTTTGTACACAGTTTTTCGAAATATTTTGTAACTTGTATTTTTATTAAAGTATGTGAAAATCATATGGTGTTTTCTATTAATTCCTTTTAGAAAAAAATTAAACGTTTGGTTCGAAAGAAACCTATATAGATAAAATAAGATAAAACCTATTTATTTGACCATTGTATAGCAGTTGGTCATACATTTTTAAAGTGCATACTATTTGTAACAAAAAAATTAACTTAATTTCAAAAGGGAGGAGGTTCTCAATTCAATTTTTAAAACAATCAGCGATTTCGCTGTTCTGCAATTAAAATTATCACCTTTTTCGAACTTTGAATCTACAATTAAGGCTTACAGCCTCTCGGGTAACTCGATAATTGTGTTAGATATTAGCAGTGAAGGGTATTGGTGTGCGAGAGCTAGGTGGCGGGTGTCGCCGGGTATCGCCGGGTGCCGCCGGGTGCCGCCGGGTGCCGCCCGGTGCCGGGTGCCGGGTGCACTAGGTCGACCCCCGGCACCGCGCGCACAATCGATACGCTGTTCCAGTTTCAGCGACCTTACGACTCCCGCGGCCCGCTTTGCCTGCGCCCTAATATCCGTCCTGATTTTAATTTCACCCGACATGAATCTCATATTCAACGAAACTAACATATGTATTTTTCAGTAGTATTAAAAATGAAAATTCGATAATTTAGATAACTAGACATTCTATTTACGAATCTAATAGAAGCTTTCGAAATAATAGCCTATTAACTTTATCGACAAGGTAATAGGTGGCCTATACCCTTTCACTATAGCTGTTCTAAGTGGTTTTATCTCTTGACTCTTCAAACATTCAACGAGGGCGCCGAGTGGCTTTATAGGCTCTTCATATTCCAACTGTACTAAAATGGCGTTGTATGCTGAATAGGGGCGATGGCTCAGTGGCTAAGAGTCGGATAAATGATACGGTGGCGCAAGGTTCGAATCTGTTCTATTTCTACGCCCTTTCAACATTAGTTAAAAGTTCTGTTTTTTATTTGGTATAAAAAATATATGAAAGAAATAAAAGAGTGGGTACCTTAGAAAAAAAAGTTAAACATTCAGTTTGCAATTAAGTTGCTAAACTTTCGGAACTTGCAATTAGCGATCGATAAAATTGTGTTGTAACTGATGAATAAATGTATGTTTCATATAAAATATTCTTCTAAGGGACACGTGAAATAAATTGCAATGTGGATTAGAAATCGGCAGAATGGCAAATGTTTACGTAACCTCTCGCGTCATAGCCGCCCCGTGATGTACAATGAAGTATGGATAGGTGTAGCGAAGTTGGGCAGGATCAGGACATTTCCATGTGATTTTCGCCGGGAGCCGCCGGGAGCGCTGGGGCGCACGGGCGAGCGGGGCGGGGGACGCGGCGGAGGCTTGATATTGACCTAGATGTTCATTCAAAGTTCGGTCGATGCGAAACTTGACATCTGCGCGGTGCTGCGTTTTGTGTTATTTTCCATCTAATGGCTATTCAAGCCGATCGTATGATAATTTGTTTAAATGTTAATATCATATGAGATTTTAAGGGTGTCGTTGCGTGGGGCGTATTTTATTCTTGTGATGTGTGCGTGCCCGGCGAGTCGTGCGGCGTGAGCTCGCGGAGTGGGATGTGGAAGCTGTGCTGATTGCTTTCAGTACGTTCGGCGCTTTAGTGATCACTCGTAAAATGTCCCGACACCACACTCGTATCGCTTAATTTCAATTTGTGTTTTTAAATCGAAAATGGAGAGATCTGATCATATCCCCGCGGTCGCCAAGGACATTCCTGCCATGGAGGTTCAATATCCAGATGTAAGTATCATATGTTACATATGTAGATAAATAAAACGATAAAAATGATTTGTAATATTTGAAAATAAATTACAAAATAATTAACATAAACTTTATTTGGTGAATAAAGAGTATATTATATCAAAATAATTCATTTTATTTCGTTCATAAAATTATAACTAAGATTTGATTATATTACGTCAAAGTAATTATTTATATAATTTCAATTGAATTTATGAGTGAAATCCTTTGATGATAACTAATTTTATAAAATGTTAGAGCTTCGTGAAACATTCCCCAGCGTAATAAAGCCAATCCAGCCAGTGATCAATGCTCGATCTACGTTTTGATTAGGAAATAACTAGAACAATCAATATCATGGATATTATTTCTCCTTTTCCTAGTAAGGTGTAGCTAAATATTAATTTTATCTCATGGTTTTTAAGGGTTATCTTACGTTATAATATTTTTTATAATTCATACAGGTATGTACGTTCAGCATAAGTCAGTACCAATCGAGTGATGATTTTCTTTTTTTATTAATAGCTAAATGGATGCCTATAACATAGTTGGTTAAATAATAAACGTCTTATACCTTGGCGAAGGGTACAAAAGTTATTCTGTAATTCTTTTTCGGTAAACTTTTTAGTTAGAGAGCATGAGGACAGATCCTTCGGGAGTTGGGAAAGTGTGATAGATTAGTTGAGTTGGCAGAATATTGATTAAATATAAAGTTGAAGTTCTTTTTTTGATCGAAAATAATGATATAAGAAAAGCTATGTATGTTTAAATTTCGACACCTACAGGACAAGCTTTTTAACCTTCTTGTTGCACGAATAATTCAATCGGTGATGGTCATTGTAATAATCGCAGTCTTTAAACTTTAAAAATATGTCAGAATGTCGTAAAGAATGGTCAAATTGTTGTGGTTAGTATAATTAATGTGCTTAAATCCTGACCTACCACAACAGAAGTTTCGTCTATTGGATTGAAATATTCATTTCGAATATAACATCATACAATCATATAATTAGATTAAAGGAAAATACGCTTTACATTTGCGTATTTAATATTTTACCGCTAATGACGGAGCTAGTAAATAGTAATTACAAGCAAATACAGATTAATTAATTTTGCTACCAGTACGCTGTTGCAATAAATATATAAACATTAGTAATGAATTACTGAAAATTTTATTGACCGTGCAGCAGTCCGATGAGCTGTCATCTCGTTTAATTACGTACAAACATCGCACTCAATTATTTCTGATCATTTAGTTTCCTTCAATCACTTTTAATTCTCTTTTAAAAATTAAGATGTTTTTAAATAAACAGAATCTTTGGTAAATTATGATAAACACAATGTTTTGTAAATGTTAGGTAAACGTAACTTGGGATAGGTCATTAAATTTCGAAAACTGTGAATTAACAATTATTAAATCTGAAACGTGCGGAGGTGTCACTTCTTTATTATATGCTTGTAAAAACATTTGATGATTGTTTTTTTTTATATTTTTCAATGCAGAGCAAGGAGAAAGGGGCGAAGGACCGCGGCGAGGAGACCGAACCGGAGCGTGGCAACTGGACGGGACGTTTCGATTTCCTGCTGTCCCTACTGGGCTATAGCGTGGGCCTGGGCAATGTGTGGCGCTTCCCCTACCTTTGCTACAATAATGGAGGAGGTATTAACTTTTTTGCCGTATGATTGACATCTAACAGAGTTTGTTCTGGTGTTGTTTTGGCTTTGGGTTTTCCTTCATCTAGATTATCGGCGAGTTTCTTTCTGTAAGTTTTCGTTATTAATTAGTGGAAAAAGTTAAGTGAAAAAAAATAGCAATTTATTTTAATGTAATTTTATAAGGCGTTAATCATTAATATTTTTTCCACGGTACCAACAGACAAAAAATAAATGTCCGGTGTGAGTAATTTTATGCACGTTTTAATATGCAGTGAAGCGAAGTCCGGTATGTTTCAAATGCTCTCGAGAATCATATTATATAACGTGAGGAGGCGCTGCTCGTAGCTTTTTATGCAGATTTTGAAAAGAACATCGCATATAATGTTAACTAAGCTTTTTCTTAATAACACTAAAACAACGCTCATACATACGCAAATCAGACATGAATCTTTAACTTGTACAAACTTATGTGATTCTGATTTTTAAAAGAATATTTTTTGAGGTTCATTTCGAACTAAACGGCACTAAAAGACTCTTTAGTTCAGTGACGTCATAGATCCCCTATTTGTTAAAGTTTAAGACTTGTAAGGACCCGCGTAACCATAAACTGGACCGTCCTTCAACAACAATAGTTACGAACTGTAGCTACGCAATTCTGCAAGTTTGAAGGATGTGTGCGAAGTAGGAATCCAATATAGTTAGGACACAACTTTCTTATTTGCATGGTGTAACCCTGAAATGTTTGTTTATTAGCAATAAAACTTGGCGAGTATTTAGTACATATTTTATCGGGACAATGGTAATTGTAACCGCCACATGACATGTTATCGATATGTTAATTAACATAATTAGTCGAGCGAAGGGTGCAAATGGCATATTTCTTAAGCAGATTATAATATTCTTACCTGTTTAAAATATAAGCGAGCCTTCAAATACTTAAAATACAGCGTAGGTATGTACATATTTGTACTGACCGACAGTTATTAGATAGATTCTATTTAGATAAGGGTGGGTTTGTATTTAGTTTTGTCAATAATTTGCAACCGTAACACTTTTTGGCAAAATCTAGCATATACTAAAGATATTAACGTAAAAACAGTTTAACAATTTTTTCCTCTAAATAGCGTGCCGCGGCTGTGGGTGAATGCGTTGGCAGTTTGCCAAACGCGTTTCAATATACAAAACTTAAAAAGTATGTAATGTCTTTCTACTTATTGTTAACCAAACGTTTTGTTTCAAGTACCTATAGGTAAAGCGAATATGGTAGTTTGGACGGGATAAGATTATGGCCATTATGTACAAAATAATTAGACACTCTCTTTTAAACTGGGTGTTTTTCATAAGTTTGTATTTGTACGCAATGTACAGAACGTCACTATGAAAACGAGGTAATTTAACTAATTTTATGATACGATATCCATAGAACTTTATTATGAATCAAAAATAATAACTTTGCGAACTGCGGCCATTCAGTGCTTTTCCTGTTTCAACTTAACTGTTTTTTGTTCAGCTGGCTTTTGTTCATATTTCACAAATAAGCGGGACTGCTTCCCGAGAAATGCTTTATGTAAAAAGTGCGCCGGGCGGTATTTCCGCCCTG